CTTTTATTATACCACCTCAAATATTCTTTGTTTCCACTGAGAGGAAAAAAATCTGATTGAGCTATAAAAATTTTAGATTATCTTGCTTTCAAATCCTATTTAAGTTCATTGTACTGAATATCATTAAGAAATGCCACTGTCAATTGCTGTAAGAAAATCCAGGTATATTTTAACCTGGAAGAGTTAGATTGGAATGTTCTGCTGTCTACAACTCATCAAAACATGTCCTGATTTTTGCAGTTTATCTACCTGAAGTCATCATTTATTTTAAATTCCCTTTCAATATGTGAGTGAATGAGCTCCAGATACCTCCAATTCCCCTTGAAAAATAAGAAGCTACTTTTCATACTAAGAAAAATCGTAATAAGAAAAAACTAAGAAAAAAACCAATATATTACATTTTAAAAAATTATTCCAGTCATGGGGAACCATATTTTGTTTCCACGGAAGTAAATGGCAAGAATCTCGTGGGTTTCAGTAAGTGCATGTTCTAGTTCATACTTTTTTTTCAATCTTTTTGTCTTTCAGTTTGAGGTTTCTGATGCCCCTATTCAGATTAAATCAATACAAGAAGCTGGACTATGATGTGTCACCAGATCTCAAACTAAAGCAGAGAAAATATTATGAAGAAAAGCAAAAGAATAGAAATTTGAGTGAAAGGAAATAGCAGAAAAAAGACCGAATTACAGTCTGAACATTCTAGATATCAGCAAAGACATAAATATAAAATATTGGTACTTTCAGTATTTAAAGAACTTCTGTAAGCATGTAACTCGTTTTAAATAAGTAACAGTTCAATTTTTTGCTATTATATATTAGCATTAATTATTTAACTCAAAATGTTTACGTGATGACCTAGTATTATCAAAACCTGATGAAGTATATTTTAGAACAACTTAACAATTACAAGCTCTTGACAATATATTTCATTTTATTCTGTTTTTAATAATATTTTCCTTTTTTAAATTCTGACCTCTATATATGTAAATGAAAAATTACCAAATTAAAAAGCTAAAACAATGCCATGCATAAAACAGTTATCAGCAAGGATATATTAAATCTGTTGGGTTTTTTTATTACTAAAAAACAAAAGTAAAAGACACCTTTCCTAATTTTACTGGACAACTAAAATTTTTAAAATAAAATAGAGATTTCTAATTACAAACATTAGGGTTTTTAATGTTATTTCTGATAAAAATCAAGGAAATCTGCAAATGTTAGAGTCTGAATATCAGGTAAGGAAGGAAGTGCAGAGGTTTAGAAATTCAGTTTGACATGGATCAGGTTAGAGCCTGTGGTTGCAAATGGAGGTTAGCATATTTTATAATTTATTGTAACATTCACAAGTCATCTTCAACATAGGTTGTAAGAGAAGAGGTGCTAGAGACAGAGAATAGATATTCTATGATCACATCACAAATCAATGTTAGGATAACGTTTTGTATGTACCAGCAAATAGACAATAGAATAAGAAATAAACTCTGGGCTTATAAGCATAAACATATAAAGACATACCATATTCACTGGAATACAAGACAGCACTGATTTAACACATCTCTCCAATAATTAGATTCTGCACACAGAAAATTTATAAATTTATTATAATTTTCCATGTATGGAATCTAATTATTAAAGGGTCTTAAATTCATCTCCCTTCTACTGCAGGCAGTGGGGGGAGAGGTGAGGACAAGGGTAGTAATGGAGAAGGCAGTGGGGGGACAGACAGGTGTGGGGCACGTGATAGGACAGGTAGTGGGGAGGCAATAGTGGGCAAGCAGTGCGGAGGTGGGAGGACAGGCAGCTTTACCCTTGTTGCCCAGGCTTACCTCCCCTTGTACCTGCTCCCTGTAGCCTCAGGTCAATGATCTCTGCACCCCTCCCGCCCCCCCAAACCCCTTCATACCGCTTCTGCTTCCTGCAGCCTCAGGTCCTCATCCCCACTTCCCCCCACCCCAAAGTCTCTACCTCCCACCTGACTGCCCCCCTCCTCGCTCTGTGCTGGCAGGGTTCATCCTAGCTGCAGCCTGGGATACTGAGCAATGCTTCAGCTCAGCCCCATAGTAGTGTGTGGAGGCGGCACTGCTGCTACAGGGCCAAGCTGGAGCACGTGCTCCATGCTCCAGGCTGCAGCAAGGACGGAGCCTGCCAGTGTGGAGCAAAGGTAAGGAGGAGTGCGGCAGAGAGGGAGAAGCAGTATGGAGGGGAGATTGAGGCAGCGGGGTCTTGAGGCTGCAGGGAAGGGTTAGCAGGGGATGTCGAGGCAGCAGGTGGCAGCTGCAGCTATGGCTCCAGTTCCAGCTCCAACCCGGGGTTGGGGCTCGAACCACTGCTGCTGCCTGCCCCTTTGCCACTTCATACTTGATTGTAACAAGAGAGGCTTTTTTCCCCACGTTACATGGGGGAAAAATTTATCTTCTAATCGAGTAAATATGGTATTTAAAGCTGAAAGTATATTTATACCACACTGAATACATAAATCTGAAAATATACTACTGTCACTTGTACTACAATGTATAACAACACAGCTCATGTAAACGAATAACATTATTCTATCTAAAGATGATTTTGTCCCAATGCCATGCACATTAACTTTATAATAAACAAGTGGATCCGCAGCAAACTATCAGATGAAATTACTTACCTATAATAACAGTTGTTCTCCAAAGCTAAACGTCCTATATAGATCCACTCTAATTCCAATAGCTCCCAAATGCAAATACTACTAGAACTCTCCAAGATTCTGAAATAGCTCCTTCCTCCACTCAAGATAAAGGTAGCAGCTTTGGATTTCAATCTAAGGAATCTGAAAATTCATCCTGTTGCTTGCTAGGAAGTTGTCTTGGAAATCAACGTATATTATCCAGTTACATATCAAGTGCTAGGTTCTCCTATGTTTGAAAGGCTGGTTGAAAAGCAATGTTTGAGTAGTACACTGTAGGAAGGAACTAGCCAGAACTTCCGGGGCCTATAATGCAAGGCAATCACAGTACAGACATTTTACTGCCCTTTCATTCAGTCCAGTGTGTGCTCCTTCCTGGCATTCTTCAGTCAGTTCAACTAACTGGTATGCAGGAAAGATGAACCAACTGCCAGCAATTCTATCCTAACCATCAGTGGTGCCAATGGAAATGCAGCATTTGCTCTCTCTATTTAAATTCTATACTGTATCTGCAGAGGCAGAGGCTTTTCCCTTGCCCACCTCTATTGAATAGACATAATTCAGTCATGAGAATTTTCATGCGTAGAATCGGACACCGCAAGAGAGGCTCAATATATTAACAGTACATGTCATGAAGGTGCACCACCCTGGATGCAATAACTGTAGTGAAGGCATCAACTCTACTTCCCCCTGTGCTAATACAGGGTCTTCATAACGTCCTTATGCACTTTTAAAGTTAGGTTGTGCACAAGGACTTTATTAAGACCCTGTACTTATTTGCCCCATTTAGTTGCTCATCCCAAGACACATTTTTCTCTTTCTGAGTAAGACTACTTTGGCTTGAACAGAATCTAGCAGAAGTTAATAATTGGATCTGTTAAATGACAATTAGAGAGATAGGATCACCCATTCTCTAACCTATTCTCAATATAACATCCCATACTATTTCCTTTTCTTTTGAAACTTTGCAGTACCAACGGTGGGTGAAGTATGCAGCTCGCACCCAAAGGTGACACGTTAAGATGGGAAGAGATAAGTAAGCAGCAGACATTTTGTAATAAATACTGATGGAAAATACACAGCAAACAGACAGGACAAAGAAAAACAAGGAAAACTACTGACATTTTGCTATGCTGACAGTGTGTGGGGCAATTTAAAACAAGGCACTGAAGGTGTGGGTATAGTGCAAGGCAATGCCATGTGAATGGATGCCACAATGGCACTGCATGTATTAGCTCCCAAATCAGGTGCCTGTTAGTGCCAACACTGTGCACAGGCTAGTGGGAGCTGTAAGAGAAGTCTGTACACACTGCTGCACCAAACCAGCTATAATGCTTCTAGTTGAGGAGATATCACATACAGAGCTAGCATGGCATCTCAGTATGGCACTGTCCTACGCTGTACTCTGAGGTGTAGGCACGTGGGCTTAAGATTCAGCTTTCAATATTCAGGTTATAAGTCTCTGTATCACCAGAAGTCCGTCAGTACTACCCTGAAAATAGACTAGCATGAATTCAGCTTATTACAAACTTTGAATCCATTTTATTTACACAGTAAAAAGCAATGCGTGTTGTAGGGCATTCTTCTGTTGTCTGTCCACAGCCTTGTGGCAAGCTACATAAGAGACTCAGCTTTAAAAACAAGTAAATATATTCACTGCCAAGAGACCAAAAGATAAAATGAAAAGTTCCCAATCCAGCCAAAACAGAAGTTGTGTAAGACACATACATTTTAATATGAGCTCCCTTGGAATTGTATTTTACTAACCCTTATGTGAATTGATGGTTTTATCCACATATAGCCAAAAAGAGTTCCATAACTCTCAAGTAGTATAATCCATACAACTATGCATAAAAATCCAGTTCTTCGAAAGATCTCACACTGTATTCTCAACATAGTAAAAACTTATTTAAGTATGTATTTCAGACATACCACAAAGATGAACACATGAAACAAGACATCATGACACACACACAGATATTTTCTAATGACACGGAGTTCATATACAAATTAAGAGAAAAGCTCTACTCTAAGAAGTATCATAATGTGCTCTCAGAAAAAATACTTAGCTTAAAGCTCCTTCTTACTAGGAAACAGAAGCTTACCCCAAGGCATGCTGAGCACCTGCAACCTCTTACTGAAGTCATTTAGAGGTGAGGTTTTCAGCACCTCCCAGTCAGGCCCTTAGCTCCTAGCAAAAGCTACATAAAGAAATATGTACAGCTATAAGAATGAATTAGCTAATAACAGGCAATGCTCCAGAGTGTAGTAAGAAATACTTCACCTAGATTTATATTACTACTCCTTGGATCAAAGACTTTACTTTTTAAAAAGCAGATACCTGCGGTCCATCTCTGGCTTCATAGAAGTCACCCACTCCTATTTTTGCACTGAAGCTGAAATTGTCCCTTGAGATATCCATTATTCCATTTCTGCTGAGATACTGAAAAAATCACATATTTTTCCACTTCAGGTTTTAAATAATTACAACCCAGCTTTGATGTACAGCTAACTTTGGAAGTCAAATGGTTTGCATATTCTATCAAGGAGATATGCATTTACAGGAGGTCAAATTAGAAACAGGGTAAGATACATTAGCTTCATATCACAGGACATTTTCTATCAAAGACTATATTTGAGAAAGAAATGTACTTTTATTGTAAGCATGCTTAATAGCATCTGAGAACATCTTGATTAATACAAAAATGTACCTTTATTACTTCAGGATACTGTCTTAGCTTCTTTCCACATGGTGCATAATATGCTACTTCTCCCTGAAGACGACCACCGAAGCTTCTTATTCGTGTTTCTCTTTGCCAGCTACAGCAATAGTAAATATAGTTGTATATTAAGAAACATTTATTTCTTGAACTATACATATCAACTTATTAATTATATTAAAGTACAAACTCAAGTGCTTAAAGTTTGGGGTCAGGAAATGTGACTAGGCAAAAATATCGAGTCTGTGTATAATATCCAAGACTAAATATATTTCAGTGCTGTATTAGGTTTAATTGCCATCTACAAGTTTACACGTCTTAATATTACAGTAACCCAGGCAGTTTCTGGGAAAGTGTTATGTGCTCTATTCTTACTCATAAATCATCAAAAGATTAAGTACAAAACTATTATCAGACAATAAAAATCTCCAACAACACTTGAGGCATACTATACATAAGTGGCGGGACTTTCAAAGGAACTAAAAACTATCACTGAAAGTCAGAGAGAACTGAGTACCAAAAATACCATGGCAAACTCTACCATGAGTTTTTTGTTTTTGAACAAGGTCTTTTCAGGATATAACCACATTTTATGAACAGCTTCCCAAATTTAAGTAAATATATAACATACCCATATTCTAAAGGAATACGCAACTCTCGTTCATCTGTTACCCTTCGCCTTTTTGAAGTACCTAACATAGAAATGATTGATTAACGCTAAAAATCATTCAAAGAAAAAGATATTTAGAAACTTATGCTATGTGAAAACACATTTGGCATTACTTAGATCTTCCAAACCATACAAGCAAGCATCTTGCGTTTCATCAAATAGACTAAAAGCATCAAGTAAGTAAAGATCGTTTGCACTCTGTACAAAAAAGCACAGAAGGCTTTTTTTAAGTGATTGGCTACTCTGTCTGATGACATGATGGATATAAAATAACCTTGGATGCCAGACTGATGGATCTCAGTAGGCAGTAAGAGATATACGTCAGAGAAAAAAAATGTCATATGCTGCTCATCAACTCCACATACAAACGACATACAGACTTAGTACAAACTAAGTACTGACACCCCCTTTTTTTTTTTTTTTTTTTACAAGTTGTGTTATGATTTAAATGATGGGTCAGTTCATCAGCTTCCTGAAGAATAAAATTAACTCATATTAATCTGAATCAGGTTATTTTTAAGTTTTGAGAAATTCATTTAAAAATGTAAAATACGCCTGTTTCGAAGTGGAAGAAAAATCCAATAAAATAGACCATTTAAAAGTTATTTGCATTAATAGCATAGCAAACAACTTCTGTGCAACTGCACTCTAAACATTAGAATAAACTAATTTATTTTCAAGCAAAATAAGTAGCATTTTGCTAATTCTGGGTAGCAATCAGGAGACTCATTGTAATAAATACTGAATATTATGAATTTGCTAGTAAGTAAATGACCATAAAATATAAAAGAAGATATATCACCAAGTGTACTTTTTATATATTTTGGAAATTATAGCTTCAATTATGTAAAATACTTGATAAACGTATTAGATGATTGTCTTGTAAAAATAATTCAACTTTTAAACTTAACTCAGTACAGTCAATATATTTGTTGATAATCAGAAAGCTCTTACTGCAGATTGTAAAGTGTGTGGATTTGAAAAGTTTTAGTACATCATAACATAAATTGAAATAAAAGAATATGCAATTATCTCTTACACAGCAGATGTCACCATTTGAGATAAGCAGCATGTGAAGATCATTTTAGAGATGGAAAAACAGAGGCACAGAGACGTGAATGACTTGCCCAATGTTACCCAGAAGACCAGTGACAAAGTTAGGAACAGAACAAAGCTCCCGAGTTTCATCTGGGTGCTCTATCCCTTAGGTCTCACTGGCTCCCTTAATGCTTTTATAGAGTAATGGCATCCCTTAACTCATATCCCTTAATCTCCGAATAAAAATATCATGAACAGACTGGTCCTGATCACCTGTGACTTTGACTAACTTCATGGGAGTTGCAGGTGGTCAGTACCTCTAAGGATCAGGAAAAGGAATGGAATATTACTGTCCAAATGCAACACTATCTTTTAAGGCTATTACTACCTTACTTACAGTTTCTAAATATATTTAGAAGGCACATTTCTCAGACACTATCTTTTGTCATATAAAAAGGCATTCAATTACCACAGTGTGTACTTGGAGTAAGTGTAGAAGGCGGTGTCCCAAGAAAAACTGGCGACTGGGATTCAGGACATAAGGCAGCAGGAGCAGAGCTAGGAGTCTTTGCTACTTGGAGATTAAGTGGTGTAGAGTGAGCTGTGAGATTGGTGGAAGAGCTTTTCACGGAGGAAGTAGTTTTATTCAGCTTCACTGGAGTTTTCTCTCCCTCAGTATCAGTATCTGATTCATCTTGATCTTTATCATCCTCATCGTCCTCATCTTCAGACCCTTCAGTATCAGATTCTGAATTACTGTCAGACTCTGTAGGAAATTTGTAACAAATGCAGGTTACAACTGGACAATCAACTGCACATTAAAGCTTGTGTATTTTAACATCTTGACATGCTAACACTTCAAAAGGTCTGCTGACAGATATCCAACTATTTTTAAAGTATACCCATTAGGATCAGTGCAAGAGCATCAGTAATTTACTCAGTCTTCATCATAATTGGAACCATGATGGAACAAAGCAACTCTATGTGATAATTCATGGCAGATTTGGAGGTTTTCTTGCACTACAAGATGGGAGAACTATCAAAGTTGGTGTGGAAAATGCATTTCTTTACACAAAGTTGAGAATAAAAGCTTTAATTTTTTAATAAAAAACCAACCACAAATCCTCGTCTACCTGATTGGCTGTCATCTGAATCATCATCATCATCATCCTCGTCTTCATCATCATCGTCATCGTCATCATCATCATCGTCATCATTTGAATCATCAGAGTCTTTACTGCTAGGAATGTCTGAATCTGTTCCTCTAAATTGTTCCACTAAAGATTTTGCAGAATGAAGGCGATGTTGTGTTTTTACTGCTGTAACCGTATTATTGCTGACAGCTTTTTCCTTTCCTGGACCAGGTAACAGAGGAGAGGTAGAGGGCATAACAGGTGTCTGGTTACCAGATGTTTTTTTACCACATGTAGTTAAATTTACTGGTGACGAAAATGAAGTACTACTTGAAGTAGCTATGTTTTCATTTATCTTGGGCTGGGATTTGGATTTGGTGGTAAGTGCTAGAGGAGCTTCCTGGATGACACTTTGAATTACTCCATTGGGTTGGTGATTACCTAAAAGTGCATTTGTCAAGAATGGATTTGAATGGTTGTTTTCTAAAGATGTGTGTTTTGGATGAGCTGGTGAACTAGAGGTTGGTTTCGGACTTGACAAAGCTGTGATAACCTTCTTCAGGTTCTTGGATGATTCTTGTTGCTTCTTTAACTGTGCTGCTGGGAATGTCTGTTTGTACTGTTCCTGAAGAAAGAATGAAGAGAATAAAATTAAAAAGTGCACCCAGCCAGACAACTTATATTTATTCAGCCATTAGCATCTGTATCTACAAAAAGTATTTTAGAATGTAGAAGGGCAGTTACTAATTAGCTAGACAGATGAGATGTTCTCCCAACATTTTTTCAGAATTAATAAAATCAATAAATATGGTCCACCCAGGGAGTCAAGAGACTACACTGATGTGAGTAGTGATGCAAACTTCTGAACATGCTGCTCCAGCTTAGATGCACCCTCATCTGATGAAATCATAAACAGAAATCAAGCAAATGGTTGGTGAAAAAAAAAAAATCACCAAAGGAAAAAACACCCGTAAGACAGGACATGCCTGAAAAACAATTTGCTATGCTTTCATGGCAATATATAAAAATCCTGTTTTTCTTATACTGACACAATAAATCACTCTAGTGGAAGCAAATCAAATATTAGGTAATTCATAAATCCTACTCAGTAGGACACATGCAACATTAAATCCAAAATAAAAACAGTACAAAATAATAAAATATTTAAACAAAATAGCTGGAATAGCAAAATTTGTCATAGGAATCAATGAGAATGTGTGAACTGGGGAGATTACACAAAAGTGTCATGCTAGAAATCAGGTTCTAGGTCTGTTGGTCAGGAGTGACTTCAAAGAGTTCAGGAGAAACATAATTATACCAGTCAAAGGAAAAGAGAGAGCTCTTGAACTCATCCAACAGCAATCCTTTTAGACTAACAAACTCCAAAGGGAATCATGTTCAATCCATTTTAACCAGCATCCTTAAAAAGGCATTTCCAAAGTGCAAGTAGAGTTTATACTGTACTAATTCTCAGGGCTCTTCAAAGAAATGGAGGCCACATTAGAAGCACAAACTTACTGTTCCTGGGATAAGCATCTCAAATATGCTCCAGACAGGTTGCTTCCTGAACCAGAAGCCACCTCCAAGGCTAATTAGCATGGGGCTGCTAACTAGCACTCTCACTCACCCATGCTAATTAGTCCACCTTAAACTCTGTGTAAAGGTGGCTAGAATGCTTCTAGTTCAGCAGACAGCCTGTGTGGAAGCAGCAAAGTACGTCTGAGCACACTGTTCATTAGATGTATATACATGGCCAGACAGTACTTTACTTTTCATTAGGGGTGTGAGAAACGGGCCGTATTTGATTCAGATTCGGCCTCAATCGCAGACAGTGATTCAATTCATTGATTTGGGTTACTATCCCTAATTCGATTCAAACGAATCTGAAGATTCAATGCTGATTCAGAGAATCAGTGATTCAGCCATAGACACAGCTTTAAATATTTTTTCTACATACCTCGAGGTACCAGGTCCAGCTCGTGAACACTGTGATGCTGGGCCAGATGGAGCATCCCACAGGAGGGCGGCGCCCCCCCCGTGTGCTTGGCAGTGAACCCAGAAGTGGATTGGAAGTACTTCCAGTCCATGTCTGGGTCTGCTGCTGAGCATGTGGGGGGGCCCCCCTGCACCCCCCTGGCGTGGTGATTGGCTGTGGGGGGACCCCGGGTACCCCCCCAGACCCAGGAGGCACCAGTCGATGAGCCAGGCAGGATGGGGGGGCCCCTCTGCACGCTCCTTAGCGGACCCAGAAGTGGACCAGATGTGCTTCTGGTCCACTTCCGGGTCTGCTGCCGAGCATGCTGGGGAGCCCCCCGCACTCCTGTGGGACACTCCATCCACCCCAGCACTGCAGCATTCACAAGCCGCCTGCTACCTTGAGATATGTAGAAAAAACATTTAAAGCTGCGTCTATGTCCGAATCTCCAAATCTTACCGAATCTCTCCGAATCAATTCAGAGGGTTCTGATTGGATTCAGAGAGATTAAAGGGTCTCCTGATTCGATTCAGAGATTCAACCACCAAATTGGGCTGAATCTCCACTGAATTAAACCAGGGACTGAAGCTTTGCACAGCCCTACTTTTCCATAAGGGAAAATCCTCACTGACTGTACATAAACAGAAATGTACCAATGCATGGTGGTTAATTTTTTTTAAAATAAAGTGATTATTTTTACATTAATTTAAATATATTATTTTTTTTTTACAACTAAACCAACTTGAAATCATGAGTGTATACATTAAATAAAATTACTCAGATCATGTTTGCTAAGAGAATCAGACCACTAAACAGGTGGAAAGTCACTGGCTCAGCACCTAGATCTAAGTTTGTTGAAGTGTTAAATCCTCTTTTGATATCTTGACAAGAGAGAATATTTTCTTCATTATAGTTTATTCAACTATTTCAGATCAATGACTGGCTCTTTCAAAATTCAGAAAACAAACAACCAGGAACTGGAAAAAGAGGAAAGCTGGTTTTCCTCTTTTCTTCTATGAATGAGATGCAAGGGGTCACTTAGGTCCACAATTCTAAATAATGTTTTGATTAATTTCCTTTTCCCTGATGTGTCCAATACATTTCAAGTAGTTTTATTAAATGAATATAAACACTTTTAAAATGTTGTTCTTATACACTTTAATTTAGTTCCTTTTCCCATCCAAATGCAGGTTGACATAAACCATTAATAAAAATACACAATCATACTGAATAAATAAGATGCCTTGCACAATTCTTGAACCCAAATGAGAATCTGAACATGTAAGTATTAAGATCTATAAATGCTTAAATAAATATGTATGGATCCACCATACTCTCTAACTGGCAAAATCAGGTACCAAACTTGAAATAAAGGCTATATTTAGGTAGTCGGTATGTTAAAGAGTTTCTAACCAGTAAGAATCTACTTTTCTAAAAGAAAAAAACTGGAAGTATAAGGGGAAAACAAGATTAAAATCAAGGTTGCCAACTTGCTGATTTAAATCATGATCAAAATCAGTGATTTAAATCTTTTTTTAATATAATCTACCCATCCTGCACTACTTAGGAACTATGTTTATATAGTTGATATGGAATTGTTACTATAATTTTAACACATCTGACAAGCCACGGGAAGCAACAGAAAAAGTGCTCAGGCCAGAATCTGTCCCATAGGAGGACATGTTCGAATGTGGTACATTAATTTTTAGCCACTCAATTCCCTTAAAAACAACTACATGACACAATCTTTTTTTCTTTCTTTGTCACCATTTAAAATAATAAATAGAGAAGTTTACAAATTTCATAATCCAGCATGCTGAAGCCCTTCCAGATGCATTATGATCTGACTTTAACTTATCCTATTGTCTCTAGGTATTACAGGGCTTACTGTACCCAAGATCCCCTGTACTGAGACACCAAGATAGAAGATTTGAGAAACTCCTTACTTTTCAGTGTTGACCAAACCTTAAAGACAACTTAAAACACAAATTTTATGATTTTTTTTTTATTTTAATCTTGTCTTCCTTTCCCAGATCAGCATTTCAAAGACATACTGGAGATCCAAGTTTTTGTATTTTTTTATTTTCTGAGAGTCCTTGGATACAAAAATCCAACCTGATCACTAAAAAGTACAGTCTACGCCCAAAATCCTCATTAATCTAGGAACAATGATTTGAGAGGACATTCATGCTCCTGCTCCTAAACAATAACATGCTGTGCTACAACCCTGTGCTGCTGGCTTAATGCTGTATTATTTAGTTGCTCACACAAGAAGGCTCAGAGGCAGTGGGTACTTGTGGAATTTAGGGCCAGTTTTTTTTTTTTGAGGGGGGTGGGGAAGGGGGGCAGGGAAGCAGTTAATATTTAGAGAGTTAAGAGTTCAACTGATTTGAAATTTCCATTAGGCATCCTCCTGAATCTTCAGGCACCTAAATACCTAAATCCTTTTCAGCACGTGGTATACAGTGACTAAACTTGCATGTAATCTGGCACTTTTATTAGTACTCAATAAATTTCAACAAATTCATAGAAGACTAATGTCTGAAAAGTATAAAAGCTACCAGTATGTTCTGATAAGCAGCTACTATGGATACATCACATACATGCTGTAAATAAATGCCTTGGTTTTTTTTCCAAGGTATTGTTTCACAATGCTAAAAATATATTATTAATTTACACTAAGCACGTGCTCTAAATTTAAACATTTTAACTAGGACTTAAGTTTAGCTGCTCTAAAAGGCAACCAAATAACTTAGAAACTGATTGTAGAGCACTTACTATAAACATAGCCTAATCTAACATTCACCATTCAAAAAATCCATATAATGTTTTAAGAAGCATGTCAATATTAATTATGGTATAATTTTAAAGTGGCAAATACAACTCTCTCCCAATTGTTATTATTATTATTATCTAGATCACACTCTATTCAGAAAGGCTCAAAGTTGCTTACAATAAGTGATACACAACAAAAGTAAATTCCTCAAATGACACCCCAAAACTAGAAAAATTCAGACCATACCTCCCACTCTCGCTTCCCTGCCTGTCACCCTTAAGACCAAACCTGCTGGGAAGTCTCAGCCCCCTTTCATATTTAGGTATAAGTAACTTCCTCCCACTCCCCACCCCTACAGGTATCACTTCAGTCAGATAAATTCAGGGGTCGAAAACCTAATACAGGAAGTACTGAGCTATAATTTAGTATTCATAATAGTATAATTAGAAACCTCACAACCGTCCCGTGAGAGGAAAAGGTACCTGGCAGATGCTCACAGGTTGTGAAATTGTTTGTGGGACTGACATCACATCACAAGATTCCACCAGAATGATTATTTCTGTTTATTCATCCAGGAGCACGATCAAGAAAAACCTGTTATTTCATAAGAGGCACGCACCTATAGATACTGCAGCTACAGACAGCATTGCTAAGCAAATCATTTCCACTTACCCGTTTTGATCTTACATCACTGGTCAAAGGATTAGATGCTTCAGAGGTATTTTTGTTCCCTGCTTTGAGTAGATCAGGAGAAGGAACTATAAGTTTTAAATAAGTTTCCTTTTTGGCTTGATTTACCAAAGACAAAGGTTTCACATTGGGCACCAATCCCGTAGACTGTATTACACTTGTGTGTTTGTTCACAGATTCCTCCTTTGCCTGAGAGCTTTGGAAAATAAAGGGAAGCTGCTGTGACAAAACCTGAGGCTGCTTCTGCTGGGACTGGAATGATGAGTGAGTCTGGGAATCAGACATAAGAGGTATCTGCTGGTGTGTTCTTTTTTCCTGGGACTTTTCATGTGTTTTCTGTCCATCTGCTTTCATATCTGTTACACCACTATGCATTAGCACCTGAAAAATATATATATTTTAAACTGTGTAGCTCAAATCATGACAATAAATATTTTGCTCATAAACTTAATGACAGATTCAAACAATATTTTGTATAAACATTAATCTACACAACTTAACTACAATTTCCATAACACAAGTTAACAATAATATTTTTAAATAACCTTACAGTATATTTAATTGCTTGATCTTTCACCTCCCAAGTCCTTTGGTTATGGGAAGTCTCAGTTTAGTATTAAAACAATACTAAAAATCAGTTGTTTTAAACTGTACTCTTGATTATAGACTGAGCGGAACACTTGGATTTAAATCCTGTTTTACTATTGGTTACTAAGGAATGTAACTGCTACGCCAAGAAAAAAGCAACTATAAACAGAATGCGGTACCCATGGCAACATACCGTCCAACTACACTTTTCAGCACATGAAATATTGAATCTATCTTCACTATTTTATATATTTTCTAATTACAATAAAAACAGTCTTCAGGTCCAGCTTTTCCTAGGAGTTCACAACAAAGTTATAGGGCTTCTATTTACCTTGAGCATGCAAATCCTCCAGAAAAGCGATATAGTGCCAAGAAACACTCTCACATCAGGCATTACTGTTTACTTAATTCAACAGAGACTGAAATCATATTTTTTCAAGAATACCAGTCAACCATAAAATCAGTAGCCAAAGTCACTGTGCAGAAATCCTACCTTGTTTTTGTTTTTATGATGTGCTTCATTCTCGGAGTCAGAATCATCTTCAGTTTCTTCACCACTTTGATCTTCCTCCTCCTCCTCTTCGTCTTCCTCTAGATCATCTGAGTCACTACTACTAATGCCTTCACTTGAGGTGTCTGAAGACGAGCCTGAATCACTGTCACTATTGCTGGAGCTTTCCACTGCTTTTTTTCTTGGTTTCTAGAGAAAAACAAAATATACTTATTAATGGTTCAGGTTTAATGCATTGTACCATCCAATTTTTTTAACTCTAGAGTAATATCATCAGCAATCCTTTGGCATCTCTCTCCAGATATTCTTAGGAAATAATAAAAAGGAATTGTTTTCATGAAAAAGAATAAAATTAAGATATTTCACAAGGATACGCAAGACATTTATCCAGCCTAATGTGAGAATAGGCAAAAATAACTTATTTCAAGGTCAGCATACCTGTAAGATTCACTGCGTGACTGCCAAATTCACTGCTAGAGAACTGGGTGATCACACAGAGAATGCATACGTTCTAACAAGTCTGAAAACAAAAAAGATTCCAATAGGCTTATAAAAGAACAAGATGCACTAGATCTATTATTGTCTTTCAATAGCAGAACATTCATTTGAAGAACAGTAATTTTTAAATTGAATGAAATTATATGTTATGTCTACTACTAGAGATGTTTCTAGTTTTCAAAGGAATACAGTTTATGTACTGCTACTGAGAAAGGGATGAGAATGTGCTGAAATGTTAGTATAGTATAGTATAGTATTACTTATATTGCTAGGTGTCATATATACAACATATTGCAATGCAAGACACATTTAAAAATAAAATATAGTAAAACTTATATTTAATTCTTTTCTTGTGCATCACCAAATGTTTGCATGGTATTTCCAAAAATTAAGAAACCAGCCTCTCCCCAAAGTGTTACATAATCTTAAAAAAGAGAGGCACAGGAGATAGAAGACAAAAAGGGAGCCTCTGTGGTATGAAAAACATAAGAAACATAAGAAACACTATTTGAAGACTGAAAGCTCAGATTTTAAAATGTGACGAATGAGACAGAAAGCTGGAGAGATTTAAAGATGAAGCATAAGGACAGGAAAAAGTTTTTTTACAGGAAAAAGTTCATGTCTAATGTAGAGGCCACATGCAAAATGGCATGGGCACATTGAAGGAACCAGAAAAAGCATTTCAAACAAGACACCTCAATAGCTCTGGTAAGAAGTGTAAAGAAGATACAGGAAAGGCACGTGATACCAGTGAAGGGACTGGAGAGAGAGTGAGAAACTGGCAAACTAGTAGAAAAGGAAAATGATTGATTTGAGCTGCAGTAGACTGATTATACTGAAGAGGTGCATATCAGTGGGAATGGAGAGAAGAAAGTGAATTACTTCAGATTAAGCAGAAGGCAGGGCAGGGCGGCACTTTAAGACTAACTTCTTCAAGGAGGCTGCTTACAGATGTTTAAAACAAACAAAAAAAATGTTTCTTACTTCAAACTCGCTGCACTCCCGTGCTGTGCCCAGTGCATGCCCAGAAGAAGCAGCACACATTAGCTGGACCGAGCTCATCCAACATGTATACAGACTGGGTGCTTTAGTGGGGCTTTTCTGGCACTTTTATGTAACTGCTGACTGAATCAGCTTTAGACAACAGCACCCAAAAGCCGCACTGAAGCACCTGATCTATATAGATGCTGCAGAGCTAGGTCAAACTAACACTCTGCTTCTTCCAGTAAAGCACATTTTGGGAGGGGCGGGGGGGCAGGGTAATGTATGTAAGCAGCCAGAGGCTTTTGTAGGCTACAGCCTACTTTGTCAGATGTTATGAAAGGACCACTACAGCTACCTCTACACCACCAGGTTTCATTCTAAGCAAACCACTAGCTCCATCAGCTACAGGCAAGCTTTACATTACAACCAACCAGGACTGCACATCTTGGGGATTTGTAGCAGAGAATTCTACACTTACAATGCAATCCCAAAACTGTAGCCACTCAGATAAGAGCCAGACTCAGATCCTGCTGTGACCTGCTAAAATACCAATCCTCTTACAAAGACAGCAGAATCCCTCTTGCTGTCACTTACCAGCTCTCCATCTTGAACACATCACTAATGGCCTCCTACCCCTCTGCAAAATGATGAACATCCTAAAACAGTCTTGGGGGACAAGCCTGTCCTGCCTTATTGGCAGCCCCACAACTTCAGATGGCATCTCTCCAACAACAGACTACCTAATTCCTCTTCTCACCAAAGCACCAGGCCTTGCAAAGGATCCAGATACCAGCTATGCCTCCTCATCAATACAGCCATATCATCACTGTACCAAACAACACAAATGATAAAATTCAATGTTCATTTCACCTTCTCTGCTACCAATATCATATATATCATCACCTACTTACAGTGCCCTTCTGCTGTCTACATTGGACAGATGGGGCAATCCCTATGTGCAGCAGTGAACGGACACTGATCTAACATCAATTCTAGAAAGCCTGTGTGTAACAGTAAAAGAACACTTTAACCACCTTGGATACCATTGCAGTCTTCTGAGTACCTGCTCTGATACAGCAAACTTTAAAGATCAACTGATGCAAAGTTCTGGAATGAGAGATCATCCTTGAAATGGACTGTAATAAGTATGGTCTCAACAGAAAATGGATTCTTATCTCATTACCTGGATTAGCTTTTATAATCCTTATGTCCCTCAATGGGTTAACTGCTTTCTTTACCTCTTTTGATCTCTTCAACCCATCTTCACCTGTCTCAGCAGCATCCCATCCTTCCTCCCACTTCCCCTATCATTTTTATTTAAAACACTTTATTCCTTTCTATTTAGTATCCCTTCTCTATGCAAGCCTATTCACAGTATCTGACAAAGTAGTCTGTAACCTACAAGGCTAGGGACAGATGTTCAAAAAGCCTGAGCCTCAATTGATTCAATCTTTGCAGGTTAGTCTAACCTGGCTAGGCTGCCCCAGTTTGTAACTGTACACACATCCCAGACATGCAGGCCCATACCTGCAGTGGCTCAGGCTAGGAGCCGGGGGGCACTAGAACAGCCCTCCTGCTCTTTTACAGTGCTGAGCTAGGGGGTGTGACCAGGCCCCGGCAAGATGCTCTGATTAGGTTCAGTGTTTATCACCCCATTAAGAAAACAACAGAGGGACTGCTTCTGCCTTTGTCCCAGCTGCCACAGCACGGACCGGAGGGGCTAGCCCAGCCCAGCCCAGAGAGTATGCCGGATGTTGGGGGAGTCTGATTTAACTTAAACCAGGAAGGGGTCTGGGACAGACATTGCATAAACTGGTTTAACCCAAATCAGTTAAGTCTGATACTACATTTAACCAGGTTTATCTCAAACCAGTTTCAGCCAGTTTCAAATTGGTTTATGTGCACTGAACATCTGTTATTACAAGTTTAAACCAGTTTCTGATCACTTAAACTGGTTTATGTGTAATGTCTGTCCTCAGCCCAAGAGCTCATGCCTCTCTGAAGAAGTTAATATGTAAGGTGCTACTGTTTCCCACCTTCTACTTAACTTCAGGCTGACACAGCTAACTACTTCTCTCTACTTTTAGGTTAAAATACTCATGAGAACTTCTAAAAAGGGCTAGAAATAATTATCTTTTTAATTTTGTTTGATAAAAGAAGACTACATTTGAAAGTTTAGTTTAGTGTTAAATAGAGTTTTATTATAACTTCAGTAGCCATATTACCAAAACAGTAAACGCCTAAGAAGAATTTGGAATTCTGAGTTGAAATCCCAAGTTTTGTGGTTAGAATAGAATTTACTGGACTTAGTTATGAGAAATACTTAACTTGTAAGTTCCATTTTAGCTGAATGACATCAGGGTGGTGCTATCTGCCATTTAAAATGAGTAGTAGCCATGTAAGTGTTGTAGCAAATGAGGACTTATTGGTCAATCATTTGTTTTTTGGTACATATGATCCAGTCAGCCTCTGCCACCATGGGAAATGTCCAGGCAGGTTGCCCGGGAGCCCTTTAAAATCCCTAGCTAGCTGGCAGCTGAAACACAAAAAACACCTCAGGCACTGGCTGCCTGGGGCCCTATGCATGTGGCAATGGCAGGAGGTGATCAGGGGACCCAATCAGCCCCTGTCACTGGGGGAGGCTCCCAGGGAGCCCTGTCACCCTTGCTGCCTGACACAAAGAGTGGTGGGGCTGCCTGCAAGCCAGGAACTTTAAAGAGCTGCTGATGCTCAAACACCAGCAGACCAAAGAACCAGGGACTTGACAGTTCTCATAGGCAGTCCAAGACTGGAGAACACCATAAAGCTCCAGCTGATTGTCATCCCTTTAAAGATCCTGGTGGCAGAAAGTCAGAGCCTGGCAGCATTACCTGGGCTCCCCCTAATTTCTGCCCAAACATTTTAAGGGCCCCAGGCCAGCCATTGCTTGTGGTGTTCTTTGGTCTTCAGCTGCTAGCCAGCTGGGGACTTTAAAGGACTCTCAGGCAACCTTAGACAGGAGAATGCAGCCAGAGTGGTGGTATGAGGTACTGATCAGCTGATGCCATGGCTGCAACAGCTGATGGGGAAAACCTGTCAATGGGCACCTATACATGAGTGCAGAGGCTGCTCCAATGCACTAGAAATCCAGAGCGTCGGAACAGACTCAATCGAGTCTGCTGGAGTGTGGCAATTACTGCGCTCCAGCAATCTACTGGATCTTGTGCATCAGTATCCCCATGCTTAAAAATAACAGTGGGGGCATTTGAACTAGAGCTCATCAAACAAGCTTTAGTTCAAGCACCCTGCTGTCATTTTTAAACACGGGGACACTGATAGACAGGACACAGTGGTGCTTTAATGAGAAAGGCTCTTGGAGCCACTCTAATTAAAGCACCACCCCTCCCACCCCTGGAGCACAAGCAAAAGTGCTGAATGAGCCTGTCTGCTCACTTAAGGTGCCCCGGGGCCAGAGAGGAACTAAGTGGCAAACCCCTTTCTGGAGAACATACCTTTGTGGTAACTTTGTTGCACTCCAGCCAGGGAGTAGTTCATGTGTGACCACCCAGAGTGCTCCATTTTATAATGTTATAACATTTCCTACAAGTACCACTTCTGAATTATTGATATGCTTTGTTATGGTACTGACCCCGGTTGCCATTTTTCATCTCTACTCTTTTAGCACACCAGCCACCACTAAGATAAGCCTCTAGTCTTCTAAAAATGTT